AAAGGAATGTGATGACTCAACTGCACCTTTTTGATATAAAAAGAAAGCCTGATAACAGACATTTTAAGTTTCATTCTCTTTTCTTTACATACAGCTTTTGTGTATACTGGGACTTTGTGAAAAACAGGGGAGCAAGTAGAGCTATAACACCATTAGTGAATTACAGCAGATCAAGAGAGACAGGAATGGTTTTTTAAAGAGTTCTAAATATTTTTATGTTGCCAATTCTTGTAATTTTATCTTGAGTCCTGTAATAATTAGACAGTTAGCATTTATTATTTTATTTATTTATTTAATTTTCATCTCCAGCTTTCCAAACTGCAAAGAAAAGCACCAAAATATATGTTGAAGGGCCAAAAACTGTAAGGAAAATAGAAAGCACCCCTATTTGTTTAGATTAAAAAAAAAAAATCTCATAGTTTAGGAGGGGCCTGGCTCAAATGTGAAACTTGGGGATTGAAAATACGGCTTTTATAGCAACTGTTAGCATCTATGCAGTTATTTACTAAAGATAGGGTAGAAATAGAGACAATATGCAACAGAGGCAGTATTTCTAAGTCAGCTAAGGTATGAGAAAGCTCACAACGTACATCAATGGGATTCTCTCAAATCCAGGAAAGAAAAACTACATTACTTGCTCTATGTAATATAATTTGGATAGAGGCAGTATGTGTTACTTTGCTGCACTTTATAGGCAGAAGCATAGAACATGCTCCTTTCAGAGCTCACAGGCTGCCTGGCTACCTTGCTCAGTGACAAATCAAGGGAAATCAGGGAAGCAGAGCTGGAAGGGACTTCCAGAGGTCATCTAGTCTAGTGGTTTTCAACTTTTTTTCATTTGTAGACACCTAAAAAAATTCAAATTGGAGGTGCAGAGCCCTTTGGAAATGTCAAATGGAGATCAAGACCCCTTTGAATTGTAAGCATGGGCATTCACAAACTTTTGATTGACCATAGTCAATAGTCTTTTGTGGACCCCTTAGACAGTCTGTGGACCATGTTAATGCTTAAAGACATATATATGCCCATAGTCCACAGACCACAGATTGAAAACAACTAATATAGTCCGACCCTTTAGCTGAGGCAGGATCACCCTTATCCAAACTTTCCCCAAGGGTTACCTATCCAAACCATCCTATACCACAGGTACTTAACCCCTTGGCCTGCACGGCAGAAGTGCCCTGTGGCACTGTGTCATTTGGCCCCTGAAAATTTGATGGCAGGGGAGTAGTGACAATATTGTTACTCCCCTGCTGCTAAGTTTCCGGACCTGTGGGGAACTGGGCACACCACACAGCATGGTCCTGCATGCTAGATTAGGTGACTGAGGACCCAACAGAAGCACATGGAGCTGGGTGAAGGCAGGGCAGTGCCTGACTGGGGTGCCAGGCCAGGTTCAGGGGGCCAGCGCAATGCATTCCTGTGAGCGTTGGGGTTTGCCCTGGGCTGATCTCCAAGTTGTGTGGACTCTCCAGTTACATCTCCACCCCTTCCTTGGTGCTCAGTGCACATCTGCCCTGCCCGTGGACAGCAACCCCTTAAGCATTGCCCTTGACCCTGACGTCACTGAAGAGACAGGAAAGCTGTTTAACGGAGGAAAACGTGGCACGCAACGGCCCCAGGACCACCCCTGCCCCTGCCCTGCCAAGTTCTCCACCACCTTGCACCGTACTGCACTCCTGGCCTTGACGCCCCCCACCCCAGGTCTGACAGCTGTACAAATTCCACCACATGCTACCCCACACATACCCCAACTGGCTGCAGCTGCACCTGTGTGCCAAAACCAGAAACACACATACACACACATGACCCCCTCCCTCCCATTTCTCCTGGCACGTGCACATGACAGCAAACCCTTGCCCCCTTCTCCCCGCCCACTTCCAGCTGCGCGGTGGCTGTGTGCCTGCATGGCGTGGCCAGTCCGGGGTGCCCCACTGGGCAGTCACTCAGATGCAAGGAGTAGCGTGCAATGCAGGTAACAGCTGGGGCACGAGGTGCAGTGCGTGGGAGGGCTATGGGCATGGCAGGACAGCGCCGTAAGTGCCCCTCCCACTGCCTGCTCACAGCAATAAAAGCGCAGGGAAGGCACTGGGTCAGGGCAATGAGCCCCCCCTGCAGCCTGCACCACGCCCATTGTTATGAACCTGTGATCCTAGCCCCTGTCTCTGATTTCTAATTAATTTGTTGTGTGTCATCATGTCATCAGTGCTATGTCCTTAGTGGCTCCCATCGCCAAAGGGGGCTTATTAGCTCTATTGGGTGGGCTTCATCCCGCCATCCCTATGGTGGCATAAAAAATAAAATGTAACAGAATTGAGACGAGCTTCAAATGGGATTTTGCCTTTAACAAGGAACCAGTTACCTGTCACAAGCTTTATTTAGGACAGCATTTCTCAGCTTGTGGGGCTCAAAAGGGGTCACAGAAATGTATGAAAGGGTTGTGAACAAACTGAAAAAATGGATTCTCCTTTACTGAAAAATGTAAAGAAGTGTGGGTTTCCCCTCTCAGGCTGGCACTGTTCCTGCCCGTGAGGGGCTATTTGGGGCCCTCCATGCCCCACACACTGGGGGGCTTGGGGACAGGGGGCACTGGGTCGGGACTGGCCATCAATGTTAACAAATGGGTCCTGGTACAAAAAAGGTTGAGAACCACTGCACTATGCTCTACCCCTCAATGCACTCATTATGAACCTATGACCCTCACTCCTGTCCCTGTTTTGTTTTTATTTGTCTCAGATAATCAGTGCTATGCCCATGGGTGACTGCTGCCTCTTGAGTCAGTGGGGGCACAGGTCCCCCCTGACACCATTCAGTGACCGGAGTGGCGGGGGGGCGTCCCCCCAGCAGCTGATCTCCGGGGGCCGGGGCCACGGCCGATCTCACTCACCAAAAAGCAGCCACGCTGCTTCCAGAAGTCCCATGGCCATTTCTGGAAGCAGTGCGGCCACATTTGCTGGTGGCCCCACTCCTTGGCTGGTGCTCTCAGGGGCGGCACCGGCACTCCCACCATCCCCCTTGCCCTGTTGCCTAAATAGGGAGGGCGGCCTGTTGCCACTGGCTACGGCCTTAGTGCCCTTTTGGGGGGCTTTGGCCTGCCATCCCTATGGTGACATAAAAAATAAAATGTAACAGAACTGAGATGAACTTCAAATGGGATTTTGCATTTAACAAGGAGCTCGTTACCTACCACAAGCATTTCTCAACCCATGGGTCACAACCCAAATATGGGTCACAAGAATATACAAAAGGGTTACAAGCAAACTTTAAAAATGGATCAACAAACTTTAAAAATAGGTTCTCCTTTAAAGGCGAAAAATGTGGGAAACCATGGCTTTTCCCTTGGAGGCTGGCAGAGTCCAGCCTGCAAGGGCCTGCTTGGGGCCGCTCATGCCCCATTCCCTGCCCCACACACTGGGCCTGGGGCCAGGAGGCAGTGGGTTGGGAGTGAGGGGCACTGGGATGGGACTGGCCAGTGTTGTTTACAAATGGGTCCTGCTACAAAAAGGATTGAGAACCACTGATTTAGGAGAATTGATACTGTGTTTGATATGGGCTTGAGTTTCTCTGTTTATGCGGGTTTATTCTTTGAATTGCAGTAGCTGAGCCTCAAGACCCAAGGGCGTTTATCCATGTGCTCCAGGTGTGGGTGGAGAGCAGGGGGCTGCACTTTAGCTAAAGCAGCTCTGAGAGTTGCTCTAATGAAAACACCCAGAGCATCTCATGCACCAGCCCCTCCACACTTAAAAATGGCAGTGGGGGTGCTTTAACTAAAGCTTGTTCAATGCGCTTTACTTAAAGCACCCCTGCCACCATTTTTAAGTGTGGGGAGGCTGATATATTAGATGCTAGAGTCAGCTGGAGTGCGGTCATAAGCACGTGTTAGAAGACTTAATTCACCTGAGCAGCCTCAGATGATGGATGTGTTACTATTATGATTATGGCTGAGTCAATGGCTAATTGTGCAGGGTGCCGTTCTAGTCATGTACAAATCTAGAGCAGCAGGTGTAATCTCTCCAAAGCTGAACAGTCTGGACGCAGTAAAATTAATGTGTCCCGTAACTCGGAGAGAAACAAAATACTTAAGTCAAATTCATAATTTCTGTTTGCCCCCACCCAGAAGCTCAATGTAGATGGGTGGAAATTGTTCACAGCAAGAGAGATACTAGGTCAGTGGCTCCCAACCTTGGGCCGCAACCCAAATCAAGGTTATGGGGGTCTGCTCCTCGCTCCACCCCTCCTAGTGCACAGTCCGTGTGGCTCTCGCTGCTGCTGCACCCCGCGATCCTGGCCTGGCCCCAGCTCTGCTGGTGCCACTGGGCATGCGTAAGTCAGCAGCAACCTGGATTTAGGGTCACAGCAAAAAAAGGTTGGGAACCACTATATTAGGTGCTCATTTAAGTGCTGGGTTTTTGGTTGCAGCTGTGTTAGTCTAAGGATGTAGGTAGGCAAGGTTCTTTGGGTAGATGTGATATCTTTTATTAGACCAACTAAGTAGTTGAAAAAAGGTCTTAGCAAACTTTTGGGCTTGCTAAGATATCACATCTACTCAAAGAACTGTGCCATTTTCAGTGAAGCACCTTATCCCCTATTAAGTCTCTTCATGATACCATGTATATAGCCAATATAGGAGCAAGGCAGGCTATACAAAGCGTTTCAACGTAAGTTAAAATGTGTATTTGGAGTACTATCGTACGCCTAGTACTAAGAAAAAGATCAAGTGCATGTAGGAGTCAGCTGGGAGGTGACCTTGAGAATGTCCTGGCTCAGGCCCTGAGCTCCCAGCCCGGCCGCAGGCAGCGGGGGTGAGGGCCACGGACACAGCTTGGCAGCGCCCGCGCCTGCGTCCGGCCGCCTGTTTGCAGCCCGCAGCACCTACCGGTGCAGCTCTGGCCGGCGCCGCAGGAGCCCGGCAGACTCCACCCCTCCCGGCGTGGCAGTGACGCTAACGCTGACGCTAACGCCTGTAGCCCAGGGCAGCGGGGCCCACCCCCTCCCCCGGCCCGGAAGAGGCTGCGCCGCGCGCTGTTGCGGACTCGGCAGCGGCAGGAGGTCAGTGTAGGCGTCCGCGCCTCGGGTCAGGCGGGGGCCGAGCCGGGTGCGCTGCCTCAGGCTTGTCCCCGCCACCCACGCTGCAGCGCGCGCACTCATTTCTTGCAGCGCTGCCTTTTCCCCGCTTCGAGCACCCCCGGAAGGATTGCACTGGGCGGGTCTCCGCAGACCCCGGAGGCTGTGGTGCGGGGTTGTGGGTTGCTGAGCGCTGGCAAAGACGGCTTGGCGGGGTAGGCTGCGGCTGGGTCATTAGGTCCCTGCAGGAGGCAGCTGTCCCTGCCGAGGTGACTGTGGTGACAGTGGCTGGGGAAGGCAGAGAGGTTGGTGGAAGCAAGACCCTGGTGTGCCCCTGCTTTCTGCAGTCTGTGTTTGAGGAGGTTAGTGTGTAGCCTCTGGCACTGCAGCTGCTTCTCCAGGGACCTGCATGCCACTGATGATCCAGAAGCATCTGCCTCTGAAATCCCGCCCGCTGATTCTGGGAGCATGGGGGGAGCAAGGAAATGAGCTGGGCTGAAAAGTATAGCCCCACATCCACCTGCCTGCCCGCAGTAGGGCAGGCCAATCAGAAGCCAAGGGCAGGCTGGCACATGGGTGGGAGTCCCTGGAGGAGCAGCTGGGGGTGCTGCTTATCCATGGGATGCTGGGGTAGGTGTAGGGCACCTGGCAGGTGGAAAGCAAGCTTCTCACACAGGGGCTGGGCACCATGGCACCGTTAGAAAGATCTTGTGTTACCCAGTTGAGAATTGGTGTACTAGCCCTTCTCAATGCGTATTACAGTTTAAGCCTTTATTCCTTGAATATGGATGGTCAGAATTGCACATGTGATTTCAAATGAGGTTTCACTGGTGCCTTGCACAGTGGCATGAATACTTCCCTATGTAGTGGAGCTGTTATCTGATAATCTGAGGATCACATTTTGGTTTTTTTAAGGGAACATCCTAGTGGTAGCTTATAGCAAACTTATAATCGGCTAAAGCATCTCACCTCCTCCACAACTGATGAGTGGGAGCTCAGATTATTGCAGAAGTTGTACAGGATGGCTACTTAATCATTAACTTCATACCAGGGTTTGGCAGCCTTTTAGAGTGGTGGCCAGGTGTTTGCAACCTGGTCGCTGCTGCAGACTGTCGATCCCCCAGCTCTGTTGCTTCAATCCTATTACTACAGCACCCCCTCCACTTACTGGATGCCACCAAAAGTCACTGCACATGCCAGTTAGGAAAGGCAAAGTTTAGTGGTGTGGACTGGATATAAAACTCCTCCAGATTCCCCAGTTTCTCCCTGGATGTTCCAATACTTCTATATTGATGAAGCCTTTAACTTTGTTTCCCTAGTAAACTTCACTATATTTTTGTCTTTTATGAAAAGATCAGCCCCAGAGCCAGTTTAGGAGGAACTTCACCAGTAGCCTGTTCTGCCCATCAGAGGGTGCCCCCTGTACTCTGCTGCAAAAATGGTGCCTGATACTGTGCTGGGACTTCAAACTCCAGAGGTAGCCGTTGTAAATTAGGCAGGTCCCTACACATCAGTATATGATCTGGTGATGGTCTACTTGATCACTATCTGTGGTGTGCATGTGTAATGAATGTGATCTGCATTACTGACTTAAGTTTAATTCTATTCTGAATTTATTTTCCTGCTTCAGCTAGAGCAGGGGTTTTCAATCTTTTTTGTTTGGTGTACCCCCAGCAGCTGGCTGAGCAGCAGGAAGTCCCCCGGCCAGTTGACAAGGGGGCGGGGGGGCAAAGCATCATCATCAGAACTGCTTCTTTGCATTGCTGCCATGTACCCCCTTGTGCCTTTCCAAGTACCCCCAGGGGTACACGTGCCCCTGGTTGACAACCCGTGAGCTAGAGGATTCTGGTGTCCTAATGGAGTATCCATAACTTGTTTTGCATCACAAGTCACTTCAAAATGTAAAAAGTCCAAAACATAGATTTGGAAAACATTTAATAATATATTCTGTAGTACCAATAAAAATAAATGAAGATCAGATTATATTTAGAGCGAGGCCATGTGGCTTGGGTTCCATGTTTAATTAACTCATTGTCCAGGAAAAATGCACAAAGCTACCTTATTCTAGCTATTTCCAGAAAATTTACTGGGGTTTACTGTTGGTGACAGAGATGGTTAGCAGTTGTTAATCTGAAGTCAAGCAGAAGCTAGAGCAGGGTGGCACCTTAGAGACTAACTGGTTTACAGAGATATGTGCTTTTGCTTCCTCAGATCTGCCACCTACCTATGAAAGTGCATGGTCTCTGAACCAGCTAGTCTCTTAAATTGCTACTTTCTTCTACGTTCTGCCTGTTGCTGAATTAAAAATAGGGAGTAGCAGACCCCAGATTAAAGTAACTTTAGTGTGGCTCAACCAAAAAGTTAAAAGCAGTTTAGTGACATGGCCTAGACTTTTCTCAGAGCAAAGTTATCCTACAAAACAAATGCAACCTAATTATAACAAACACCAGCATTTAAATAGTCCCAGAGGCATGAACAGATTTTTTTTCGTTTTGACATGACTAATTGAGTAACCTATTTATAGCACATGCATCATAAACTTTTCTCCCAGTTTCAGCAGGACTCATAATAATGTAACTGTAACAGTATTTTGATAAAAAGCATTTAGTCCTTTACAGTACAAGAAGAACTTGTCCAACACACAGTATTTAAAATGAGACCTGTTCTTTTTATCTCTCTCTGAAGTTGAATCACGATTATTTTCAGGTTTCAGAAAGGACTGCATCGTGGCTGGCTAATCATTTATTTAAAATAACTAAATTCAGATACACAGAAGAAGAAAGACTATTTGTAGAAGTACCATCTGCTAGCTTTGCGTTGATAAGTGTGTTACCTAAACTTTACCTCATTAACAAAGTGGAAGAAAGATAAGATGATGATTCCTCATTTGCTAAAAGCCTCAACTACCTCCTAGATATTAGAACTATGCATGCTTCTTATTCAGATTCCAAAACTTACAGCTTTCTACCAGCAGCTTGAGGCAGTTATGTAATAATAGGCTATATGACATAACACATTTATTTATTTTGAGGGACAGTTTTGAGTATTCAGTTTTATTTAGTTCAAGAACCTCAATTTGGGTATCTATATGAAACAACTGCAAACCTTTACTCACTGTAGAATGTAGTGCTGTAGCACATAGGCATCAAGGGGCTTTCCTAGTTCATTGGTTTCATTTTAGTAGACAAAGAAGCTAATCTTCCGCTCGTACAAATAGATGCAGCTGTTTCAGATAGAATTGTTACAGGATTTTCTAAAAAGAAATTCCTCTCTGTAGGCTGGGTAGTTGATTAGGAGACTCTTTGGTCAAGAATTGTTGCAGCTCCTGAAAGGATGTTGGGAACCGCCAAACAGCAATCCAGATTAAACTGTGTCATATACCATTTGACAGGCCAAGGAGGCTTGACTAATAGTTTTTTCCCTGTGTATACCTCGCTACTTTTCATTAGGTTATCACACTTTGTAAATGAAATATGCAGAAGCAGCCTTTAACTTTGTAGTTCCAATAATTTACTAGTCCCAGATCTACTATCCCCAATTGTTCAAACTAAAGATGTAAGAAAATTGCCTGATCTTAAGGGCCATTAACTGATTCACCAGTCTGTTTGGTTGGCCTTGGGACCACATAATAGTTATCAGGTGGCTTCATAAATGGTCAGTTTATGTTTAAGTTTCACGGCTTGTTTAAATAAATGTGTACCGGTACCAACTAAGTAACATAAAATGAAGACCATAAGTTGTTTCAGGGAGGGAAGAATAATTTAAGACTAAACCAGAGATTTTGCTCTGTAGTAATAAGACTTCGTAGAAAGTAAGAAAGAAAAGATAGTAAGTAAAATCAGTGATTTCAAAGGCAGTTTGTGCTAGTGGAGGGGTCTAAACCTGGTTTTAGTTGAAGTCCTGAGTTAATGCAGTGCATTTGTTTTTATACCACGATAAACTGTCTAGATATCTAGATGTATCTAAACTATGTTAAGAAATAAATGCTGAACAGATGACTCAAATACAGAGTGTAAACCCACAAAAGAATAGTTTCCTTGTAATTACAGCAATTTTTGGTATTGAAATGTGTAACAAGTAACAGGCTGAATTGTCAGGCAGACAAAGTTTGCTCTTAGCTTCTTCCACTCTTCTAAGAGCTGCAGTTCAAACCAGTTTCATTCATGGAAGGAAATGGATTCCATATTCCAGCTATTTAAGTTACTAATCCATTGAAAATGCATTACTAATATAAAACACTTTCTGTACTTTGTTACTACATATGGGCATTTGCCCTCTACATGCATCTACACTACAGTTATAGACATACTTCAAGTAGCTTTAGATTAGCTAGTTTCTATATACGTACGTAGCAGTGTAACTCCAACAGCATGGAACACAGAACAGGTTTCAAAACTCTTTGAAGAAACTGAGCAAATATTTGAGACAGTTAGCTGCATTGCTACCACTAGAAAAACCAACTAGTTCAAGGCTGGATGGGTGTGTTTACAAAACCTAGCAGCATAGATGCACCAAAGGTCAGAGTTAAGATCAGAAGTAATTTAGTTGTGGTGAGGAGTCTTGCAGATTCCAGCATAACCACTGATAGGCACTGCTAGAATAGTTGCTAAAAATAAATAAGTAAATTAAGGAATCCCCTCCTCACCAGGGACTTGCTGTTTGCAAAGCAGCCACTCCCTCTAGTATGGAAAGTGATCAGAATGATTTCCAAGCTAAATTAGTAACACTAAAAGCATTGAGTGTGTCATTAGCAGCATATTCAGGTTCATCTGTTTTCTGCCTCTCTTTTCCAGTAGATTTAAGTTTCATTAAGTGGCATAGTTTTAGAAGAAAACAAAAAAGCAGTTTTCCACTCCAAGGAAAGTTACTTGCTTCTAAATTATTGAGAATATTTAAGCTTTTACTTTTAAAAGGTTTCATTGCTTCAGACCAGTCACCTGCTTATCATTTCCTTTTAACTTCAGGCATTTTGAATCAGACTAAGATGGTGATAATTATGAATCAACTACTAGTTAGTTTTACAGTGTTTACAATCTGTAAATGTCACTATAAGATCTTCATTCTAACTGTTAATCAAGGAATGACAAATAAAAATAAGAAACCTAAGCAGCTAGACCAGTGGTTCTCAGTGTCCACGGACTATTTCTAAAGGGTCTGCAAAAGATGATTATGATCAATTAAAAGTGTGTGAATACCCACACTTACAATTCAAAGGGGTTTGCACCAGTCAGCATTTTCAAATGAGTCTGCACCTCCATTTGAAATTTCTTAGGGGTCTGCAAATGAAAAAAGGTTGAAAAACACTGAGCTAGACAGCTGAAAGTTTTGTCCACTTTCCAGAAGTTTACTGTCCTGTAAGGCTTTGTTTGCAGCCCTAACATCTCTCTAATAAAATGATTCTGTTAATGATTGGAAGTGTATGTGTACTATGTGCACTCTTTCACTCTTCCTTGCGAGTTTCTAAACTTGTTCCCTGGCAGATGTAAGAACTCTAATTGTTCAAAGTACCTTAACTGTTTTGAAACTTTTAAAAGCCCAGCACCCATATATTATTAAGTGTCATCAAGTTAATGGGTCAAATTCTATTCCACCTATTCTGTTCCTAAGTGGATTTAGGTGCCTCAGGGCAGTTATTCCATTCTGTCCCTGAAAATTCAATTATGTATCTAACTTTTGTAACAGAGTCTTTTTACCCTTAAGACCTGAGTCTCAAAAAAAAGCAGTGAGGTGGATAATGATGGTCTACCTTTTTCATTAATTGTTTTTCAAGGACTTGAGCAGGTTGAAATAATCACATTGTAGTGCCTATGTCTGCGTATACATCTAATAGAAGGAACAGAACCAGGCCCCAAGGGCACCTATACATTTGTCCAACACCTGCTCCAACTCATGCTAATTAATCAAGTTGCTGGAGCATGCTAATTGGCATGTTCCGGCAGCCTTGGCATCACATGTATTCAGCGTCTTCAAGTTTGGAAGTGATGGTGGGGGTGCTTTAACTAAAGTTAAAATGATTTCCCCCGACCCCCCCCACAGACACCTCTACCTCATACCATGTGTAAAGACACCCTTACAAGTGGCTAAATTATTTGAACTCAAGTAATCAATTCATGTACAAAAAGTTACCCTTCCCCATTTCCCATAACTTGTCTTATACAAGTTGATGTTGGAACTCAATATTGTGGCTACAGAGGACTTTACTAGAATTAATGTAATATAACCAGGTATATGCTTATAATAACAGCTGGTTACTTGCAACATTTTGCCTGTAAAACACCTTTCCTACCATATATTCAGCCAGCACTTCTTATAATAGCAGCAGTTTAGGAGCAATGTAGCACCAACATTTTGCTATTAACCGTAGTACAGTTGACACCTGAATGACAAGTTCCAGATATGGAAAAATGCACTCTTTCCAGTCCTTATCCAACCCCCCCCATAGTTTTTCCATAGTCCTGGATGAAGTGCAATAGCAACACAGTCAAGACTTCTTTCCTGGACAAAAACTGTACCAATCTTGGGTACTCGCACCTTCTTTGCTCAAGAAGTTTAAGTGTGGGTCTGAATGGACAGCAGAAAAGCCTTTTTGTTTTAATGCTTCAAAGATGGGGTGGGAGGGGGATATCAGTTGGTCATTTGAGATTTGTTTTAAATATTGCTTTCTGCCGAACACCTCTTCTTCCCCTCCTCTACCCTCCTCCAACAAAACAGACTTCAGTCTCTTTTATTTTTCTCATTGTTTATTTGTTCGGATGTGCATTTCAATTCTTTGTAATTTTGAAACATTTGGGATACAAAATAGTTTCTCTGTTCCATTTCATCACACTTTATTTTGACTAAATATACAAGATATTTTCAGATTGAGGTGGGTTTTTTTTGGTTTGTGGGGCGGGGCGGGGGTGGGGGTTGGTTAATGTCTGCTAAAGCGCCTATTTTCCCCGAGCTGAGAGTAAGTAACTCCTGAATAGAAACTAACTGCCTTCTTTGAAGGTTTCATAAGTACAAAATACTCCCTTGTGGCTCTGGTACTTCCTGGTTGGCAGTTTCTTAGAGCAGCAGGGTTAAAAATAAGAACTTTGAAGCTACAAATCAGCTTTCTTCTGCTAGTGTACACTGGATCTAATCTCTTTGTTTTATTTTAGATATGAAAATGATAACTCTACTTGACTCTGGACCTGATTTTTGATAGGCTCCATTTCTCTTCTTGTCTTTATGGGAAGTGTTCACAAGATTTGTGTTGTGAAAGAAACTGTCAGATGGCTTCAGAATCTATGCTCCCAGAACAGGCAAAAACTCATCTGATAAAGGGGAAAAGGCAGCAGCAGCAACAGCAAGAGAGATCTTCAAACAGTGATAGTGAAGATGAAATCTTTATCTTTGAAGCCAATGAAGCATGGAAGGACTTTCACAACTCTCTCCTTCACTTCTATGAAGCTGGGGAGCTCTGTGACATTACGTTGAAGGTGACAAATTGTCTTTCTTATCACCTGTATCTGTTATGTTAATTACCTGTTTATAACAGGTACTCTATAAATGTGCTGCTGCATTACCAGTTGTAAGTCACAATTTCCAGATTTTTGGGGGACATTTTTACAAGTTGCTTGAGATCACTTGAACAGCTGCTGGCCCCTTAGAAGTTGAAGTTCCTGTCTCTTTGCATGAAAAAGAGAACATCAGATTTAGAATTTACTTTAGTTACTGTTTATATTATGAAATTCATGACTTCAGTACTTGCCAGCCCCACTTCTACATCTAGAATGCTGTCACAAAAAAGTGTTCTGAATGGCTCCAGCTGCAGTCCTCTTTATTTGTCCTCTTTTACCACTTGCAAGTAATTTAGTTTCACCTCTTGGCTGAAGTGTTGTCTTGTGCCACTCTTTCCCAAACCATTCCTCAGTACATGTATTCTAGGAATCCCATCACTTCTAGTTGTCTGCTACACACAAAGGTGACAACGGGAAGGAGAAATATATGATTAAGTAGATGATTCAGTCACTTTATGTTGCATTTTATGCTTCATCTGTACATCACCTGTAGCATAAAGAATTTTGCAACAAGCATCCCTTCATGTAACACACTTAATGCTCTTTTGGAGCTATACAAAAAAGTAGCAAGTAGGGATTGAAACATGACAAATACACAATAGATACAAAAAAAAAGGAAGAGGAGCTGGGTCTGTTCCCAAGTTCGAGAGGCAGTATTCTCATGAGAAGCGCAACTGTCTTGTCCTCAGCTTCTGGGGTGTGGTGTTCTTGGATCTTGTTTGGGGGGCACCATCTTCTCAGGAAGCTTCTGCCTAATAAGGAGCTAAAATTTAATTCCATTCTTAGCTGACTGAACAGATAGTGTCCTGTAGAGCACTGGTTTTCAACTTTTGTGGTCAGGGTCCACAGACTGTCTAAGGGGTCCACAAAAGATTATGATTATGGTCATCAAAAGTATGTGAATATCTACATTTACACTTCAGAGGGGTTGGCACTTCCATTCATACTTTCCAGAGGGGCTCACACTTCAATTAAAATTTTTTTTAGGAGTCTGCAAATGAAAGAAAGTTGCTCTAGAACCTATTGTGAAGAGCAGCAAAAAGGGGATCTGATATTTTATCTAAAGAGTGTCAAACATGGCCTGCAGAGTTACTGTCTGGCGTACTAGGCCACCTGCAGAGCATGGGAAGGGGGGCCCTCCCTGGGGGGTGGCCTGCTGCAGAATCCAAGGCCCTTGAGTTCAGGTGGACATGGCACTCAATGCGGGAAGCTAAGTGAGGTCTAATACAGCTTGAGTCGCCCTCCAGCCACTTTGCCCATCACCACTGCCCCAGCCCTACCTCCCTGGCCATTAGCCCCTGCCACATGCCCCAGGCTGAAACTGCTGCTGTCTCAGAGCACCAGGTAAATTTGACACCTGCTATAGATGTTTCTTAAATGGAAGTGGGAGGTGGACCTGTTCTATTGTTCACGATAATTCATGTCTGTGGCCAGACAATGCAGCACTGGTGGAAAGTATAGAATGGATTCTTTTCACTTTTAATAGTTCTTGATGCATGAAGTTCTCAAAATCTATGAAAGCAGTGTGTGCTAATTTTACTCTGTCATTCCTGCAGCTGTACCCACACTGAAGCATCCAGAAAACTTGGAAGAAATTGCTAATTTATATGCCTGCATATGGAACTGTGTTTAATTATAGGAGCTAAAACCAGCATTGCGTTAAATGTTCAGGCATTGTTAGGTTCATACATTTGTCAGGGAAAAGTTGCCATGGATGAGTGTGGTTTTTCAAATTCTGTTTATTCCTGTTTTTCCCCTTTATGTAACTCTGAATTGCTTTTACCATTGTATTATACTTATAAAGTAAGTTTTGGTAAACTGGAATTTTCAAGTTGTATACAGATATTTCAGTCATAACATCCAACAAGAGTGGAGCAGTATCCACAAGTCTGTCCAAGTTCTGAAGTCTAAATACTTTCAGGACCTACAATTTTGGGCTTGAATAAATGGGATGAAATTTAATGAAATTTAATTTAATGCTGTTTTATCTCTGTACAGGTGAAATATTCTTTCACATGCTAAGACCAGCTGTGGTTCTAATAGATGATGTGTTAGCTCACGCAGGAAGGCAAATGATGGCTATAATTCTGTACAGCTTGAAGTAGCTTTTAATTATTTTGCCACTGTTTGCTATTATTTTGAATAGTTGCTCTTTTGAAAAATATAATTATGTAGTATTTCACCTTACCTAATCTACAAAACAGCAATGTGTGTAAACTAAAAGTTCTGATCTAGACTTGTTGAGACCAGGTTAACTAGTTGAATTTATTTAAACAGGTGTTTTCATAATCATGATTTGGGTTGAAGTAGTACATTGAAGGAAGGATGTGAACGTTTAATCAAAAGCAGCATGTGATTAGTTACCAGGCAAAGTAAAACAGAAGTCTGTACAATGGAGAATGTCTTTTAGAGCAAACCAGGTGGTAGGCTTTTCTTGGGCAAACATTATTGGTAGTAGTAACATGAGAATTTGTTCAGTGAACTTTTATGCACTATGGTAGTGAGACTGCCAGTTCAAGAGGTTATTTTTTTATTATTTCTTTTAAGAGCTTTATCATGTGGCTACTGCTGCCACCATGCATACAGGTTGCTACTGGGAGGCAGAATAGTGGAAGATGTTAGTAGTCATTTACTCCGTATTTTTGTTTTATAAACAGTTCACTCTGAAATAAATGTGTTACTTTACAGTGCTTTCTTCCTTGTTCTTCTTAATCTTTATTCAGCAAACATTTTTGTTAAAAGGCCTTCTTTGCAGGCTTCATTGTTAACTAGATGTGTTATCCAGTTCTTTTAATAACTTTTTTTTTAGACGTTCATACTGTTTGAATGGCACTTAGGAAAGGAGTCAAACTAAAACCAATTCTCCTGTATCATTTAGTTAAGAGCTTTTTTATTCAAGCCCTTGCCTTACCAGTTGATCTGCATTGACTTTGACAGATACGGAACTTTGTCATCTTACTTCAATGCTAATTCAAGAAAACAGGCTGTGAGGAAATGCTGTTGAAAGATAATTTACTAGTTACTTGTTTTAATTATCAAAAGCCTGAGTTTGAAAGCTTTTTTTTGCCCTAGGATAGAATCCTTAAGAATATATCCCTGTCTTTTAGAATAAATAAGCATAATGCAGGGGACCTAATCTAGATTTAAACAAAGCATTTCATACTGCCCCTCACTGTACAGAAATTAGCTGTACTGATGGAGGATTTGTATTACAATCACAAAATGGGTAGAGTTGTCTGAAAGGAGGTTGCAGTGAATTATGCTGCAAGAGGATGATGGTATTGGAGAGAAGTTACTAATGGTATGTTCATGGATTAATCTTGAGATCTATATACTGTTTTAGCCTTTTCATTAGCAATTTTAGTGCAGGAATTAAGTAGATTTACAAAGTTTGTAGATGGCACAACTGGGACATATTTCCAATGGTGAGTATTCTTCCTATATGATCTAATTGGATTATTATACAGGAAACATTAAATAGTCTGAGCGGAACAATTTAATAATAAGTACAATGCCATGCACTTAAGGACTGATATCAAGATGTTAATTTTTAAACTGGAGGCAACTAAGGCTGCATACATGCATTCAGATAATTTGGGAGAATTGTCCCAGTTGTGTTCTTGTGGCAGAGAAACTTAACCAGAGCTATGAGTAAAGATATTTGAATACTGAGACCTTGAAGAGTGGAGGGCTTACAGTACTGACACTGTGCAGAGGGGGTGGTTATGCCTGTGCATACATGTTCATATACTCTGTAGAATCCCTAAAGCTGTCTGGTAGCAAATGACTGCAGTGTATAGGGCAAACCTGATTGGCTAACTCAGATGGCCTGTGGTCTGCCTATGTTGTCAGCATGTACAGATGCTGTCCCTGGAGAAGCTCTCCTGGCAGTGATTTAACTTTGGTTGTGTCCAGGTTATTTTTCTCCTGGAGTGATGATTTTTCCTTGTGGGGTGAGGCAAGGGGGAAGCTAGAATATCTGTACACTTGTGGTTTTGTCTGGCAGGGTAGTGATTCTCCCAGGAGAAAATGAATATCTGTATAAGGCATGAGTGGGCAATTATTTTGTGTGGAGGGCCGCTTACTGAGTTTTGGCAAGTCATCGAAGGCCACATGACAGGCAGCCAGGGGTAGCCAAATATTAATTTTCTACATTTTTTAGGGGCCCTGCAGGCTGGATACAATGGCCTGGCAGGCCACATCTAGCCCATGGGCTGCATTTTGCCCACCCCTGGTATAAGGCCTAAGAAAGAGAAAGACCTGCATGTACTGGTTGATCAAAGGTTAACAGTGAGCTGCCAATGTGAAGTAGCTATGCAAAAGATTAACTTAATTCTAGGATTTACTAGACAAGTTTCTTTTTCATAAAAACAGGAAAGCATCGGTACCATTGTTCAAGGTATGGTAAAGCCACCATTTAGAATATTTTGTAGAGTTATGGTTAGCTATGTTCAAAAAATTAATTTAAACGGGGAGCAGGTACAGAGAAGGTGTACTATGATGGTTTCAGGAATTGAAAGACTGATTTTTTGGGAAGAGATTTATTAAGCCTAAAAAAAGGAGAGATTGCGATGATGATATTGGTTGTCTTAAATACACCCCTAAGGTGAGCATCAGGGAGGGATATGACTGGAACATGCTAGAGTGTGTTTCCCAGCCTGTTGGGCATTGCTAGCCCAGCCAAGTGTCCCCAACCCCCTGCTGTCCCCCCTCCTCCCCCGACAGGGGGTTAAACCCCTGTCCAGGAGCTGCCCCACCTTGAGAGGAACCTCCCCTTCAGGGAGTTCGTCCTAGCCTGGGTTCCCCAGCCCAGGCAGCCCTGGGCAGCTGAGGGTGATTCCTCCTCTCCCTCTTCCCAGCTACTGATTTGCTTCAGCAGCTACCACAGGAGGGCAGGAGAAGGAGTCCTCTTGGCTGGG